ATTCACAAAGAAGGATTCAGCTGTAGCTTTGTCTGATCCTTCAGCTCTCTTCGGCCGCCGGAGCCCTTCGGTTCATTTGAACCGAAGGACTGCTGTATGGGCTATTCACTATAGCCCGTACAGCAGCCGAAAGTGGCCAAGCCGAAGGCATTTGCTTTCGCTCAACTGAGCTAAAGTGTCAGCCGCAGCGGGACGAACGGCCTGCCGAAGGGCTGGCCGTAAGCCCCGCAAAGGACAGCTGGGCGGAGCCAGCCGTTATCTCACTTTTTTCCCTATTTGCTTGCTATTCTGCTCAGTACCACGGATGTACCGAGCAGAATAGACGAGCCCAATGCCACTCGCAGGATTCGGCTATTTACTCACTGCCGTTCGGCCCCTATATGAATAGGGGCGAACGGCAGCGGGCTGCCGGAGCTTCGCCTCAGCTGATCCAGATGTTAGATCGGCTGAGTCGAAGTTCTTCTGCACTTTGGCTCAGCCGAACATAACAACCCTTCAGATCTCTGTATGCCAGATCTATTGAGGAACCATATGTAGAAGAAGATTACTTGTGTACCTCAATAAATAAGAAAGAGCCCGGTTGACCAGAGGGCTGGTAAAGGATGAGTGCGCGACACGTTAGATCTTTATATACAAAGTCTATGGAGGAGGTGAGCGTCCTTTTTTGGAAGTGTTTCCTTCATGTGGAGAGGTGGAGGGTAGTTGGTGAGGACACGGGATTGGTGGAAACCTTGCACTGGTTCATTTATTCAAGAGTGCACAGTTGTGGAATTTACTTTAAGGACACGGAAAAAGGACTTAATAATGTTTTAGAATTTCATGTGAAGGTTTTGCATGAATTAATGTTATATGATTTTGATCCCATAGAGATTGAATTTTTTTGTCACTTTTACATATTGATTTGAAGTGTGTTAGCGAAGCACTGTGTATAAATTGGGGACTGGCTAGTCACATTGGCGCAAGGTTATAAAACTGCAATGACTACTTATGCCTATGACACAGTAAAAAAGAGACATTATTAAATCATTAATTTGGATAATGTATTTTGTTTCTGATGCGACACGGATCTAATATTACAACAGCAAAATGTTTCCCAGCACACTCACAAGCCAGCATGCAAAAAAAAAACCTGTCTAACCTCTAAGGTTAAAAACAGAGGTTTGACAGATTTGGTGCAGTGACACACTGGGGGTCTCAGCTGCCGTTGTGATGTGCAGGTTCCCTTGTGCGTACCTGTGCCTTTAAGGAGGTTTGGCTGCCTCCTGGCGAACCTGCACTTAATTTTATCTTTTGCTACATGTGCTCCAAGTTGGAGACTCTCATAGGTTAGAGTTAGGACCGCACTACACAGAGGGGCCTTGGTGCGGCTTTCACATATTCTGCAGAAGACGTGTATCTAAAACCTCTGGTTTTAACCTTAGTGGTTAGACAGGTTTTATTTTGCATGCTGGCTGGTGAGTGTGCTGGTAAACTTTTTGCTGTTGTGCTGTATAAAGCCCTTCCATGTGCACCTTGCTTTAAAGCTGGTTATTTGTTGATGAGTGCGTTTGCCATTTGTTTTGCTTGACGGATCTAATATTAGACAGTTAGTTTCGTACTCACTGATAGTCACATTTGTCTGGACATCAGGTATGGTGCATTTGGGTAGGAATTGGCCTTGATCACAATAACATTCCTCCATATTGTTACACTTCTAAAATAAAAATGAATAAAGACAAGAATATTGCTGTCCAATGAAAGAACAATGATAATAATAAATGCACCAAGTTCCTAGGAATTGCTACATTTAATACGGTATATCATATCATGGCCAAAAAACAGAAATGCTCAGGGCTCCCTAAACACAGTTTATAAGTGTAGCCCCCATCACCTTTTGTGAGGTGGCTAATAGCAATTTTGACATTGCCAGGGCTGCAGTCAGCCTGGCTGGATTATAATTGGTATTTATCTGGTTAATTCCAGGTGCCTGGTATTGATTGTACCTACCTGGGTGGAGTATGACTCTGCTGTATTGTGGTACAGCCAATGAGAGGCACTGTGAGTGTATGTACAGTACAGCAGGCAATCACTGGGTCTCTCTCTCTCTCTCTCTCTCTCTCCCAGTGTTGCATGCTGGGACAGAGTAAATATACTGGAGGGAATTGCCATGTGCTTAGTCTAGTCCGGTGCCAGCCATGGATTAGTCCAGGTTGGAGTGCTGCCCAACCTGCCCCCACCCAGGCTAGGCCCGGGGGTGGGGATGCTGGAGTTCGGGAAGTGTTTCACTAGGCCTCAAGTATGGAGGAGGCCTATGCTGTTGTCAGAGGAAGAGAACTAGGGAAGCTGATGGCTGCTGGAGGTGCCGGGAACATAGTGGACCTCAGGAGCAAGTCTGCTGTCTCTCCTGCTTAGGATCTGTGCTCATCCCTGTCCATCTGCTACTCAAATTCCTATCCGCTGTGCTACGAATGGATCTATATTGAGATGCTAAAAGGGGCTGGTGAGTCTGGAGTCTATGTCTGTACTACCCTGGATGTCTAGGGTCCCTATATCCTCTCTCCCCAGTGTGAAGATGTTAATAAAAGTTCTTCTGGAGTGGATATCAACTTTGTGGGCACTAGAAGAGGGCAGTTAAATACTAATGGGGCACCTGAAGACCAAAACCTCTAGGAAACTAGTGATGACCCGAGTTATTCTGAAGGCTCCTTCGGGGGTGAGCGCTACATAAACATAGGCGTTTGCCCTTCCTATCCAATTATTTTAAATATGAGCTCCAGACAAATAGAAAATAAACACAATGAAATCAATTCATCAGAAAATAATGAAATGTATTTTACATAGAACAAGTCTCAAACTCTTAATTTATTTTAGCCTCCTGTCATCTGTACCTCAGCAATCAAGCTAGGGAGGGAAGGACAACTAGGATCCATTGAAGGTTCTATCAATACTCTTACAGGAATGACCTGATCACTAAAATTATCCTCCAATCAATGGCTGGAGCAAGTCCGATGCCTGGCTGGTGTACTTAAAGTGACACTAAACTCAGGAGTTAAACCTTAAAAATACATTCAGGTACCTTAACTATTAACAAAAATGTAGTTTATTTGTATATCACTCGGCTGTAGATCTCTGAATTGGTGCTGACACTGTCCTTTCTTCATTGAGGAACTTGGCCTTGGGACACCAGAGAGTGTAAATACGGCCCTGGTAGTCACCACTCCAAGCTCGCTCCTGTGATGGACTGCAATCTCAATACAAATTAGTAAACAAAACATGAGGTTGTAGTCCATCACAGTAGCGAGCTTGGAGTGGTGACTACCAGGGCCGTATTTACACTCTCTGGTGTCCCAAGGCCAAGTTCCTCAATGAAGAAAGGACAGTGTCAGCACCAATTCAGAGATGATTTGAGGATCTACAGCCGAGGGATGCAGAAATAAGATTTTTGTTTTTGTTCATAGTTAAAGGAGAACTATGGGGTTAGGGGTTTTCCCCATAGTTTTCCTTAGGGTAACGGGAGGTCACAAACTAGCGTCCTCCCGTCCCCCTAAGCTCAGTATAGCTGTAGCTCGCGGTATACTGAGACGCCGCAGCTGAAGCGGATTCCGACAATTAGGTCTGGATCCGCCCAGCTGCGTGAGTGACAGCTGGCTCTGCCTATCTAGAGGCAGAGCCAGCAGAGGAAGAAACATAATATACAAGCACTGTAAAAACACATCTACTGTATACATATCATCCGTTGTACATCATACGTCTTCCCTTCTGAACGTCTGTAAATCACCGATAATCAGATTGTATTGGCATTGTCTGCTTTTCCTCTCCACCATTACATGTATTTTATTTAGTTGTCACCGCTCCACACTCGCTCCTGTGATAGACTACAATCTCAGTACAAATTAGTAAACTAAACATGAGATTGTAGTCCATCACGGGAGTGAGCTCTTGTGAAACCCAGGCATAAACTTAACCCTTGCAAGATGGGGTTAGCTCCACAGCAAGGGTAGTTTTCTGGTTTTCCTGTGGATGGGCTATAAATTGTGGCCACAGGTCTTCTTCAGGGACCTCATTGTAAAAAGGTTATTACAGCTTATATAATATATTTATACATTGTGATCATATCCCCCTAAGTGCCCTTTTTCTAGAGTGTATAAATAAATAAGACTCACACAGATATGTGAAGATACGAACCCAGGACTCAGAAACTACCAAGATCTCTTACAGTAGCACAGTATTACACGACTCCAGGACATGTACACAGCAAGTGATATCATTAAAGTGACATTAAACCCTCAGATTTTTTAACATAAACCAATACTGTAATGTGCGCCTTACTCTAATCCATGGTTGTTTTCCTTCTCTTTGCTGCTCTTCCTTTTAAATCCGTATCTCTTCTCATGCTTGGGGAGAACTTCTGTTTTGCAGCAGACTGCCTTGTCTCTGGAATGGATACATGGTGTCTGTGTGTACGTTTGCAACCTGAGCCAGCACTACAGGAAGAGGCACCCAGCTGCAAAGCGAAGTTCTCCCCCAGCATGAGAAGACATGAGGATTTAAAAGGAAGAGCAGCAAAGAGAAGGGAAACAACCATGGATTACAGTAAGGCACACATTACAGTATTGTTTTATGTTAAAAAATCTGAGGGTTTAATGTCACTTTAAGTCATAGTACTCAATTAGCATACTTGTTATTCAATGTTATAAAGCCGACGGATCAGTATGGTTTACCATCAGATCAGAACTAAAGAGCAGCTCACAAGGCACCCATTTATTCTTCCAGTTAATATCTGGACCCTTTAGTGTCCTTCTCCCACAGCCCTGAAGAAGTGGGGTCTATTCCCATGCTGGAACGCACTGGCTGTATTCCTATTTGTGGATTCTTCACATTCCTCACATTTCACACACAGCCTCTGAACACTTATTCCCAGCATGCTCATCAGAATTGGTCAGTAATGGAGGCTACATATGTTCTCCTCAGAGCTTTTCTTCAAACTAGAAGCTCCAGATACCCTTATAATGGAATCTTACCACATGGCCTGCGCATTCACCAAAACAGTCAAGTGAATCATATGCAGTGTTTTTGCTTGTGCACACTCCCCTGTAGCAGATCTGCAAAGGTAAAGCAAAGTTTATTAATCCCTGAGACATTACATTGTGTATCATCCGAAGAATAGACAGAAGGCTTCATATCTTTTCTAAAGAAGCACACCTATATGAGTGCTCCCCATACACACAATTCATCAGTCAGGTAGACATGCCGTTCAAGTATTTGAATAGCTGCATAGAATAATAACCGTTTTGGTGGGAGTCCTTTAACCACTATTGGACCGCTATATAGACATATATGTCATGGTCCGAAACTGGTTAAAACAGGATTACGGCTGACCTTGGTCTCATTTGTTTCAACCATCTGTTGACTTTCACATAGAAGTAGAACTGTAGAGCTGCCCAATTACTTCTATGGGCCTGAGAAGGTGACAACCCTCCTCTAGAGACGCGTGTCCTGGGCTCCGCTGTTCCTTGTGCAGACACAGGTTCGGCATGGTGGGTGTACCTTAGGAAGATCTATACACACTGTAGCAGGTGGTCATGCAGAGAGCCTGGAGAGGTCCTGTAAGGGATTTATATATCACCCAGATTCCTGTCCCACACCTTCCAGGACCTCTAGTCAGCCCCAGGTTTTACACCTTGTCTCAATGGCAATTTAGTGCAGGTGAGGCTAACAGACAGCGCTCTGGAGCCTGGGGGGCAGAAAAAACATGTTTAAAGCTCTCTGCCCTCACATATACACACACATACAAATGCAAACAAGTTTCAGGTGTACCTATGCGCATATCGCTGTGAGTGTTAGAGTGAGCAATAATTCTAGGGTCATCACTCAAAAATTGTTGATTTGATAAACATTTGCGCAAATATAATGCAAAATAAAAAAAATTGCAACTAGCATTTTTTTAATTCTGCAGGGCCTCTGCTTTCAGAAAATATATCATTGCTTGAGGGTTTTCAGTAGATTTCTTGCCAAAACTTCAGGCTTTTAACTTGTGTGTGTGCCAGTGGCGTAACAATCGTCATAGCGACCAGGCTGCTGCTAAGGGGCCTGGGCACAGAGGGGCCTGGGCACAGAGGGGCCTGGGCACAGAGGGGCCTGGGCACAGAGGGGCCTGGCCTGGGCCGCCTGGGTCGCTATGGCATGTGGGGGTGCTGGCTGTCACAGACATAGATCAGCAGCGGCCACGGCGCATCTCCCCTCAAAGCCGCTCCGAAATGCATAGATTAAGGGGGTTATTCACTATTGAGGCGAAGGATACAGCTGTACCTTCGGCTGATTCCTCGGCCGCCAGAGCCCTTCGGTTCAGTAGCCCATTTACAATAGTCCATAGAGCAGACGAAGGCCGCCGAGCAGCTCAGCCGCTTGACTGAGCCAAAGTGACAGCCGAAGTGGGATGAACGGCCTGCCGACAGAGCTTAGATAAGGTAATGATGTTATGACAGTGTTTTGGCCTAGTGTTTGGTCGCTCAATCCATCATCACATTGTTCGCCTGATGATGACGGGGCCCTTTGTGAACATGCATCAATAGAATTGCTTGCATCACTATTGGGACACCAGTGACTTTTCCTGATCTACAGGCCCTAGCACTGTCACAAATTGGGAAGCCACCTGCTTCCCCATATCAAATCCCTCTGTATTCAAGTCCAAAAAATAATCAAATGCGCAATTATTCACACCCGAGGGAAGTACTGAATCTGTGATTAGAGCTACAGCACACACAAAAAAATACAGAACTACTGCAAACATACTACAGCAGCTTCAATCTCTTCCCTTATGGTCAGAAGTGAAGCTTTCTATATGGGGGAGCAAGGAATCGGGATCACCTTGAACTGGGTACACGGCCCACATTAAGTCAGACACTCTGAGGGCCACACAGATAGAAATATTGTTGAACTCTATATCTCCACATGATCTCAGAATTCCAAAAAACAGTAATGAAAGATGAGCAGTGTAAAAAGGCTTCTTGTTTTCACCTTCTCTTCTGCGCACTTTGTGCCGTTCACCACCATTCCGGATGGGTGCAGGACTGCCTTGCAGGTACCAAGCGTAGCCACAAGGGTATTGATAATATTGGGATTGGGGTTTCCACCAGAGCAGAAGAGCACGCCACATTTAACATCCCTATCAGGAGACAAGTAGCTCTACTGTAGATTACTTTGTAAAAACAAAAACACTTTTGCTATCTGTGTTGATATATTAGCTGGCTTATTTGGTACGGCTGTGTCATGAGTGGGCCTTGGAGCTTTGGTGAAAGGAACCCATGACTGGTAGAAGCATGGGCTGAGGAAGCTGTCACTTAACCACTCTATGCATATATAATGAAGGGAATACTAATGAGTCTCTTCAATAAAAGACATGGGGCAGAAGGGGGCTAGTTAAAAGGTTGCAATGGGTGGTGGCACTGTCCTGAGCTTATGTTCCCCAAGTTCCCACTTTTCCACTTCATTTGCTTGTTATTGTAACAGCTGTATTAATGGGGTTTTACTTGCCAGAGGTCAAAATGGCTCAGATTGATGTCATCATCTGGCATTGGGTGGTCAGACATTTGTCCTTACCTTCTGGTTAGGACAGGTCTTTAGGCAATGTTATGCAGGTGTGTGCTCACAGTCCTGTATTGAATTGTATTGTAACTGTACTGTTCCTTTTATATTGTAAAGAGCTGTGCATCTGTTGGTGCTATATAAACCCTGAATAATAATAATAACAATAACAACAATATTATTATCATTATTATTATTAATAATAAGAAAAGACATTGGGAGCAATGTTCAAGATCTGAATGTACAGCACCTATAAGAATTACCTAGTCATGTCAGGGGGGTCTGTTGGTATAAGGTACAGGGTTCAGATGTGTCTTGGTACCAGCTGTGTAGTAACTGGAGCTTCTGCTGTGTGTGGAACAGTAGGACAATTTCTATAAAGCTACATTGACTTAATTTCTGTATACATTTGGTCTTTTCCATTCACCTCCCTCATGTTTTGTGTATATTGGTACAGTCCTCTAATTAGACACTCCCGCCTCTCCTTCCTGGTTTCTTTTCACTTCTCTCTCACTTCTCCCTCACTTCTCCCTCACTTCTCCCTCCACTTCTCCCTCACTTCTCCCTCACTGTTAAGAGGGTTGTGTTCATGCCGTACAAGGCTTCAGATAGAAATGTCTTTCCACCTCTGAGAATGACAAGGAAATCACATCCTATGTATTGCCAAGTCTGGATAAACTACATGGGATTCTACTCTGGGTCTTCTTGGTGAGTTGGACCCTGCCTGTGGATGCCATCAGCTCAGCATGTAGTTATACAATCCGTACAGACTAGTCTCAGGAACTTATGTGCCAATACATAAATTGGTGGTTGAGACAGAACATCATCATTGTTTCCCCTTAATAGGAGCTGCATTTATATATGTACTGTATACTCACTGAGGAAGACATGGTTGAAATTTTCCCCCCAACTGGGTACAGTATCCATAGTTTGCGCCTCTCATGTTTACATTAAAGCAGGTATCAGCAGCTACAAGAGCACCTGAAACCAACAAGAAAGAGATAATGTACTCCTACAGAAAAGAGGAATGGTGTCATTTTCACATGTGCTATGCCCGAAATCAACTCTCTGGTAATTGGGAGTAAAGTAATAATATTCACAAATAAACTGAAATAAAATCATCTCCCGATTTATGCTGAATTAGTCAACAAATGTAATGCCTTTAAATACCTTGGAGGATCCTCATTTAACGTGACACCAAACTCAGGAGTTAAATTAAAAATACATTCAGGTACCTTAACTATTAACAATAATGTATCTTATTTGTGTATCACTCGGCTGTAGATCCTCCAATCATCTCTGAATTGGTGCTGACACTGTTCTTCCTTCTGGAGGGGGGCTACTTTTGTTACCCATGGTCCCTGTGTCTGTTGTAGAGTAGTCACCACTCCAAGCTTGCTCCTGTAATGGACTCAGGCCCAGATTCCCCACAAGGGAATTGGGAAAGCAGGGCTAAATGTAATGTGAAGCCGCTTGTTCGTTCGTTTACCCCCCACCCAACCTACTTCTCTCCTCGCTCCGCCGCCGAGTCTCTCACTGGCTGCCGATACGGTGAGCAGAGCTGCTGAGTTAAAAGCAACCCTGCCGCTCCGTGTACACAGCGAGAGGGGAGAGCAGTCTCCCCTCTCTGCTGTCACAGGAGTTCCAGCTCAGTGCTGTGCTAGAACTCCTGTCCTGGAGGTGACAGGATCAATATAGAGAATCTGTCACCTCTAAATGCTATCACACAGGGGTTGTCAGCTCCTGTGTGATAGCAATAAAGTTAAGTGAAAAAATTAAGTTAAAAAAATAATTAAATTAATATAAATAAACAAATTAATAGAATAAAATGTATTTCTATTAAAAT